TCCATTCGTAATTGTGATGTAATATTGATCAGATGACTCTTTGGGTCGAAATTGAATACAACGAGCATTATTAATAGCTGTTGAACTTTCCAACCTTCGCATTGCACCAATAATCGTCGCTTGTTGTTCAATCGCTAAAGAAAAACATATCGTTCTACATCAAATGATTGTTTGATTGAAAATAATTTCAGAAGAATATTTTCTCTAATCATTTGTACTCAGCTTATACTAAGCTGAACAATAAAAATCATATTAATAACATTGTGATAATACATACTATATCCGGATGCAAATTGATAGGGAACAATTCCATTTGTCCAACGTGCACCTCTGTCACGAACTGCAACTCCACGCTTAATTTTATAGAAAAAAAAAAGAAAATTGTTATAAAAAATTATCATCATTAACTTACTGCTTGATTTCGGCGAACAATGATATCACCTTCAATTATGACTACTTAAAAATATTAAAAAAAAACAATGTAGAAGTTTTATTGAGTCAGATTAGAGAATACTATATCTATTCTTTTTATTTCATCACATAGTATTGAAGCTCTTGAGTTTCGAAGATTTTCATCACAACCCGTTCTTATTATAAAACGAAAACGATGGTTCAAATACTATAGCATCGCTAATATATCTCATGATAGGCAAAAAGTTGTAAAAGTTACGATAATAAATCTTATGAGTTTACAAAAAATTTGATTCAATTTTCAGTTTTCTCCTTCTAGATGGGAATAACTTCCCTTCTAATTGACTACATCAGAATCACTTCTCAGTAATGTTCGATGAAAAGAGAAATAAATAGTGATAGTGTAGTTCCTTGCGAATCATATTAAGAAAATTCATTCAATCATCGACTTACGATTATCATTCGATTTCGTTTGTGTCCTTGGTGGATTCTTAATAAGAACACAAAAACATAGACAATGTCTAAAATCTCATTGAATATAAAGAATCTGCTTACTGCTGTTGTTAGTAATGGATATAAACTTGGTATAATGATGATTGCAAAACACATCACGTTGAAAATAGTGACGATCATTGCTTTTAGTTTGATGTATATTCAACTAACACTAACTTATTTTCATCGAACCTTATATAAGCTTCAATATCGTCACACATGTCTGGAAAAATTCTGAGTACAATCTACAACGTCAATATGACATGTCTGATCGTAATTGTAATATAATTACCAAAACGAAATCATTAAACATGTTTTTTTTCCTGTATACTGCATTCAGCAGTGCACTATCACCAAACGATCTTATTTTGAAAATCTTAAAGGTACTTAAACACGAATAAGTGGAAGAGAGTCGCGTATAATTACGTTGCAATAACATAAAAAAAATAAGAGATATTGCTTTCGTCTATCTATGATAAAAACATGAACTTTAATCTACTGACGTTTATACATGATCGAAAAACGGGAGGCAATTCTAGTTTTTCAATACATTAAAGAAAAAAAGTATAGAATAAGTTGCTCTAAGTGATAATTTGCAAGTTTTTATATTCACTTCATGATATATCGTTTGATTAAAGTGAGAGTAATATTTTTGAAATAGAAAAGTAATTAAACATTAATGTTTTTTTTTGTTTATAGATGACAATTGGATAGTTTTGTTTACGAGGTAAGAGATTGTCATAAGAGAACTTCAACAAATATTTCTCATGTAGGATTTTATATATCTTTAAAATTGTATATATGAATGATTCATTGAGCATTGTTTTCATTCTCATGTAATTGATTTCTAAAGATTAAACAAAAAACTCATTGATTTAAGTTAAATTTTGAAAAAAAAAAGAGAAATAAATAGTTTATTCTTATTTTATTTTTTTCAGCATATTCAGAATACATATATTTAATGATGATTTATTTTCTTTGACCTTGATGAATATTATATATGATAAGAACTAATAAACTATATACCCTCATTACAAAACTAATTACAAAGACACAACTTTTCTTTCGTTCTCTCACTTCCTTTCTCACATCCATATTCTCCGAAGTAATGATTTGTGATGAAATCAAATTCAAGATAAACTCTCTCTTATGTCTTATCACCTATCAGGCCGTCTATATTACATACGAATAGTGACTGATGCTTATGCAAAATAAAAACTGTCTACGAAATACTTTCTTCAAAAATCTTTGCTCAAAGTCATTGAAACAAAACCCGTGTATATCCTCTCATCTTTTTGAAACGAAAGCAAATGCATGCAGAAGTTTTATTATTTGTTTGCTTTTCATTGTTGGATATCTCTAATGAAAATAATTACATGAGATGATTGGCGAAATAATGAAACCTACTAAATCTTTTTGACAGATTAAAATAAAAATTTCTTCGAAATTTTACAGAAATAATTTTTCATTTTTAGTTTTGTATAGTATGATATAATATATTAAATTGAATTTCGTGAAAAGATGAACAAAAGAAATCTATCGAAACAATGATTTAGGGTGTTTGTCTTTTCTCGACGCTCACTTACACCGACACTCTAATATTGCTAAGTTACCTGAAAAATCATCAATCTGTACGTATTCTACCAAATGCCAAGTGACATCGACCAAAGAATGTTCGTACTACATTTTTTTAAAGATACCATTTGCATAAACTTTTCATTATTTATGGTGAATTAATAAAGTGGGTTCTTTCTTATACGCTTAACTTTCTTCTATGATAAAAAACGCATTTTTGTAGAAAAATACAGGTATGTAAACTATTTATTGAATTCAATTGTATAAATCGATCAATGCAAAAGTATAGTTGAAATGAAATTTGAAGATTGGTTCATATTTTGGTGTGTTTAATATTGTTATTGACAAACATCATTAAAGTCTTCTTTTAAATTGTCTAGAAATTATAAAACAATAAGAATGAATCCGATTTTTTAGAATGTGATGAAAATCAAATCGAAAGAATTGATTGTTTCATTAAATGATTATTCTCCATTTTCGATCATACTTGGAACCGGACCGGTAGACCGGTAACGGACTGGCCGGTTACCGGTCCGGTCCGGTCTACACCGGTTTTTTACCGTTTTTTTTAAGAATTGTGGCAACTAAAACTTGCTTATTTTTAATAATTTTCATGGGGTCAATGGTCAAGAGATTTAATCCGGAAAATTTCTCATTGGCAAAACTTTAATCGTATTGGAAATATTAGCTCTAAATATTGACCAACACTTTCTTATTCTTTCAGCAGAGGCTTATATTATGTCGAATGAATTCATTATACTCACGAAAAGTTAGCTAGATTTTACAAGCTGCTGTCAATTTAAATTCAACATTTTTCTTGAAATTTCGGATCATTCATATGCCGTAATCTTAGCTGATTTTCATAGAAGCCCAATAGCCACCAATATTCAAATTCATAGCTTCATAGCAAAATGTTTTGAATAAAATCGTTTCTGTTGTCACGGTCTTTCTAACTAGTAGCATCATGCAACCGCGATAATATTTAGGTATCAATAAACCTCAAATAGAAAGTCTAATGTAAAAATCTTACCGATTTGCTTACATTAGACTAAGTTTGTAATAATTTATAAAAATTATTTCAAAAATGATTTTTGGGAAAATCTTCATAACTATCAAGAACTATATTAAATGAATCATCTTTATGAACTAATCATTTTAAAATTTGTTTTAAATTTTTATATCAACGGTTTCATGTTCAATATTTTGACATAGTGTTTCATAAATCATGATTACTGTATTTAGAAGGGATCGACAAGCTCAGCTCAGTTCCGCTCAGAGGAACTGTTCGAACAGCTCTTTTGAGCTGAGCTGAACTGGTGAACCGGTTCGTTTGAGCTGTGTTCCCAAAACAGAACACTTTTCTTCCGTTTTCGGAAAATAATTCCCATAAAAGAACAAAATTGTTCTGTTTTTGGGAAATAAATCCCATAAAAGAACAAAATTGTTCTGTTTTGCGGAAATAAATCCCATAACAGAACAAAAGTGTCCCGTTTTGGGAAATAATTTTCCCATAAAAGAACAAAATTGTTCTATTTTTGGGAAATAATTTTCCCGTAAAAGAACAAAAGTGTTCTATTTTTGGGAAATAATTCCCATAAAAGAACAAAATTGTTCTATTTTTGGGAAATAATTTTCCCATAAAAGAACAAAATTGTTCTGTTTTTGCGAAATAATTCCCATAACAGAACAGAAGTGTTCCGTTTTGGGAAATAATTTTCCCATAAAAGAACAAAATTGTTCTATTTTTGGGAAATAATTTTCCCATAAAAGAACAAAAGTGTTCTATTT